AAAACTACAGATGCAAAACATACGGAAAATATAGGTGTTGAACCATAATTAAAGCTGGGCTCGTCCAGGATTTGAACCCAGGACCTCTCGCACCCTTAGCAAGAATCATACCCCTAAACCAACGAGCCATGGAATGTGGATTTTATTCGGTGTGCCAAATGGAAACAAAACTACAGATGCAAAACACATGGAAAATATAGGTGTTAAACCATAATTAAAGCTGCGTTCGTCCAGGATTTGAACCCGGGACCTCTCGCACCCTAAGCGAGAATCATACCCCTAGACCAACAAGCCATGGAATGTGGGGTTTATTTGGTGTGCCAAAGTGGAAACAAAACTACAGATGCAACAAGGTTGGAAAATTTAGTTGTTGAACCATAATGAAAGCTGGGCTCATCCGGGATTTGAACCCAGGACCTCTCGCACCCAAAGCGAGAATCATACCCCTAAACCAACGAGCCATGGAATGTGGGTTTTATTTGGTGTGCCAAATGGAAACAAAACTACAGATGCAAAACACATGGAAAATATAGGTGTTGAACCATAATGAAAGCTGGGCTCGTCCGGGATTTGAACCCGGGACCTCTCGCACCCTAAGCGAGAATCATACCCCTAGACCAACGAGCCATGGAATGTGGGTTTATTTGATGTGCCAAATGGAAACAAAACTACAGATGCAAAACACATGGAGAATATAGGTGTTGAACCATAATGAAAGCTGGGCTCGTCTGGGATTTGAACCCGGGACCTCACGCACCCTAAGCGAGAATCTTACCCCTAGACCAACTAGCCATGGAAAGTGGTTTATTTGGTGTGCAAAGTGGAAAGAAAACTACAGATGCAACAAGGGTGGAAAATTTTGGTGTTGAACCATAATTAAAGCTGGGTACTTCCAGAATTTGAACCGGGACCTCTCGCACCCAAAGCAAGAATCATACTACTTGCCATGGTGCTTGGGTTTTGTTTGGTGTGCAATGTGGAACCAAAACTACAGATGTAACAGGTGTGGAAAATTTAACCATAGTTAAAGCTGGGCTCGTCCGTGATTTGAACCCGAGACCTCTCGCACCCGAAGCAAGAGGCCATAACCCTTGACAAACGAGCCATGGTGTCTGGGTTTTATTTGGTGTGCCAAATGGAAAAAAAAACTACAGATGCAACAATGTTGGAAAATTTAGTTGTTGAACCATTATGAAAGCTGGGCTCGTCCGGGATTTGAACCCAGGACCTCTCGCACCCAAAGCAAGAATCATAAAACTAGCCATGGTGCTGGGGTTTTGTTTGGTGTGCAATCTGGAACCAAAACTACAGATGCAAAACACATGGAAAATATAGGTGTTGAACCATAATGAAAGCTGGGTATGTCCAGGATTTGAACCCGGGACCTCTCGCACCCAAAGCAAGAATCATACCCCTAGACCAACGAGCCATGGAACCTGAGTTTTATTTGGTGTGCAAAGTGGAAACAAAACTACAGATGCAACAAGGGTGGAAAATTTAGGTGTTGAACCTTAATTAAAGCTGGCCTCATCCAGGATTTGAACACGGGACCTCTCGCACCCAAAGCAAAAATCATACTACTAGCCATGGTGCTTGGGTTTTGTTTGGTGTGACAAATGGAAACAAAACTACAGATGCAAAACACATGGAAAATATAGGTGTTGAACCATAATTAAAGCTGGGATCGTCCAGGATTTGAACCCGGGACCTCTCGCATCCTAAGCGAGAATCATACCCCTAGACCAACTAGCCATGGAAATTGGTTTTATTTGGTGTGCAAAGTGGAAAGAAAACTACAGATGCAACAAGGGTGGAAAATTTTGGTGTTGAACCATAATTAAAGCTGGGTACTTCCAGAATTTGAACCCGGGACCTCTCGCACCCAAAGCAAGAATCATACTACTTGCCATGGTGCTTGGGTTTTGTTTGGTGTGCAATGTGGAACCAAAACTACAGATGTAACAGGTGTGGAAAATTTAACCATAGTTAAAGCTGGGCTCGTCCGTGATTTGAACCCGAGACCTCTCGCACCCGAAGCAAGAAGCCATAACCCTTGACAAACGAGCCATGGTGTCTGGGTTTTATTTGGTGTGACAAATGGAAACAAAACTACAGATGCAAAACACATGGAAAATTTAGGTGTTGAACCATAATTAAAGCTGGGCTCATCCAGGAATTGAACCCGGGACCTCTCGCACCCTTAGCAAGAATCATACCCCTAGACCAACGAGCCTTTGAACCTTGGTTTTATTTGGTGTCCAAAGTGTAAACAAAACTACAGATGTAACAAGGTTGGAAAATTTAGTTGTTGAACCATAATGAAAGCTGGGCTCATCCGGGATTTGAACCCAGGACCTCTCACACCCAAATCGAGAATCATACCCCTACACCAACAAGCCATGGAACGTTGTTTTTTTTTGGTGTGCAATGTGGAAACAAAACTACAGATGCAAAAAGGGGTGGAAGATTTAGATGTTGAACCATAATGAAAGCTGGGCTCGTCCAGGATTTGAACCCGGGACCTTTTGCACCCAAAGCGAGAATCATACCCCTAGACCAACGAGCCATGGAACATGCAATTTGTTTGGTGTGCCAAATGGAAAAAAAACTACAGATGCAACAAGGTTGGAAAATTTAGTTGTTGAACCATTATGAAAGCTGGGCTCGTCCGGGATTTGAACCCGGGACCTCTCGCACCTTTGTTTGGTGTGCAATGTGGAAACAAAACTACAGATGCAACAGATGTGGAAAATTTAACCATAGTTAAAGCTGGGCTCATCCTGGATTTGAACCTGGGACCTCTCACACCCAAAGTGCGAATCATACCCCTAGACCAAAGAGCCATGGAACATTGGTTTCATTTGGTGTCCAAAGTGGAAACAAAATTACAGATGCAGCAAGAGTGGAAAATTTAGGTGTTGAACCATGATTAAAGCTGGGCTCTTCCAGGATTTGAACCATGGACCTCCCGCACCCAAATCAAGAATCATACCCCTAGACAATTTATTTGGTGTGCCAAATGGAAACAAAACAACACATGCAAAACACATGGAAAATATAGGTGTTGAACCATAATTAAAGCTGCTTTCGTCCAGGATTTGAACCAGGGACCTCTCGCACCCTAAGCGAAAATCATACCACTAGACCAACAAGCCATGGAATGTGGGGTTTATTTGGTGTGCCAAATGGAAACAAAACTACAGATGCAAAACATATGGAAATTATAGGTGTTGAATCATTATTAAAGCTGGGCTCGTCCGGGATTTGAACCCGGGACCTCTCGCACCCTAAGCAAGAATCATACCCCTAAACCAACGAGCCATGGAATGTGGGTTTTATTTGGTGTGCCAAATGGAAACAAAACTACAGATGCAAAACACATGGAAA